TCTGTCCCCTTTGGTATGGGAGTCCTGATCTTTGTGTTTTTCCCCCCTTTAGAACAGTGGTCTCATAGAATGTTGTCCTGTTGTGGTTGACTAATGTCACTGGCCAAGAAGACAGCGCACAGTGGAGCCGATGCCAAGAGAGCAAACACGACGGTGATACTTGCTCTCACGTGCTTTAGACGTGGTGCCAGGAGGGGCCGGTGCCTGGAGAAAGACGCCACGCTTGGTAGAGTAGAGGGGCAGCGACAAAGAGGAAGGCCCCTGAGATGGACGGACACAGTGGCTGCACTGATGGGCACAGGCCCAGGCACGAGGGTGAGGGTGGCGCGGGACCTGAGTGGTGTTTTGTTCTGTTGTGTGCTGGGTCTCTCTGGGTGGGGATCGGCCCGACGGCACCTAACCACCACTACTGTTTCGGCGCGATGCTCTGCAGGTCCATCCATGGGAAGCGGGGCTGCGCTGTGTTTCGGGGATGCATAGTGTCCCCCTGCGTGCATTCACCAGTGTCTTTATCCATTCTTCTACAGGTGGGTGGTGGGCTGTTTCCAGTGGACCCGCATGCTCTGCACTTTACAGAGCGCTGGCGGCAAGTCCAGAACCAAGAACCCCAAAGCATGTTGGACAAAAGCCTGGCGTGGGTGGAACCTGACTCTGAGGGTCCCTAGCCCACCGCCCCTGGCCGGGATGCTGCTGTCATAAAGAGGCAGGAGGTCAGTCCTGTCTCACTGGGACCTTACCGTGGCCACAGGACAGAAGAACTCTCTCCCGGAGTGAATGCTGGAGGGGGTATGAGATTGTGATCACCCTAAACAAACCCTGATCAACAGTCAGGTGCTTCCCCGGGCCCGAGGCGGCCTGCCTCCCATACCTGAACAGGGCAAGTCCACTGTGGCAGTTGTAGCCACAGGCGATGACTAGTGATAAACATGCTGCTGCCCCAATGGGCCGTGGGGGTGGGGGTGCCAGTTTGAATCCGGGCAGGCCACATTGCTTCCTGAGGCTGACAAATAACAGGAGCACCTCCAGTAAATCTCTAAGCGTCTCGGAGCTCAGAGAAGAAGTTATTCTCACACCCCAAAGACCCAAGCAGACTCAGTCACATTGCCGACCCCCGACAAGGACCCCCGTTGACTACAATGTGCTATTTTAAGCACCAAGAAGTGGGGCTGCAGTCAAGGTGCGCCCCCCCCAAGGTCCGCCTTCTCCAGGGGCACAGGTTGAGCGACGGTGCCTACTCACAGCGGCCCTGCAGGACAGGGCAGCGCTGCCCCTGGGGCGTCAGGCACTGTCAGTCCTCACAGGAGCAAAACTGCGTCTTTCCCCCAAGGAGCGGCTAGTGGGTTTGAACTGCGGACCTTGCCGTTCCATGTGTAACCATGCCGCCGCCAGCGCTCCTTCCGCCAGTCACCACGTGGTCCTTCTTGTGGTGGGTGCCAAGCCAGCACCCACTCCTCGAGACACCACGTCCAAAGGACCCAAACTCCACCCTGGCCCTCACCACCCTAACAGCTGTCCTTGTGCGCGAGACCCCGGTGGCAGCCACGGTGTCCGTCCTCTTTCTCACCACCCCTCGACTTTACCAAGTGCCGGTCCCTCCAAAGGACGTGAGATGGAGTCTCGCCATCCTCGCCTCTAAGGAGCACTCTGGCCAGGCTTCTTCCAAGACGGGTCTGTTGGCTCCTGGGGGGTCCATGGAGCTTCCAATCGTCTTCCCCAGCGCCGTCCCTCGTGTGCATGGGTTCTTCTGCCGGCCCCTTTATTCAGTGTGCAGCTTCCACACGCATCTGACGCAGTGGAAAATACCGTGGCTTGGGTCACAGATCCACGGAAGTGATCTGGTCTGCAGGGTGGTGAGGAAAGCGAGCTTAGAGAAATAAGCAGGGTCCTTCAGCACCTGGAAAGGAGTGGGCAGGCTTCTCCCATCTCTTTCCCCGAGGAAAGCCATGGACGGCCCAGACAGAAGATGACCATGGCCTGCGAAGGGCAGAGGGATGGGCACGGTGGGCCCGGGGACAGGGTGGCAGCGAGTTTGCTGAATGTCCATCCTGACTCCCACCCCCCAGGCGTGATGCTGACGCCGGAGCACTCAGCCCAGTGGATGGGCACACTCCTGGACAAAGTCCCCAGTGAAGGCCATTCTCTCTGGTTCAAGGAGCAGGGTCAGGGACGGCCTGCTGAGGCAGCAAGTGCTCGGCTCCGGAACGGAAGCTGGGGGCCCCTGTCTGCAAGTCAGCAAAGACCCCCCTGGGAAGCTTGGATTTGTACCCTGGGGGAGTCATAAGAATGTGCCCCAGTGCCCCCCACCCAGATGGTGTTGAGGCGGTCTAGGGCTGGCATCCACTCCGGCTAGCTGCAAAGCCCAGCCACCCAGTGGTCTACATGAAGACACGGCAGGGGAGCGGGGGGCGGGAGCCTGAACGTACGGCTCCACCCCCACCCCACCACCATGGTGACCAGGAGGCCCTCCCAGAGTGTCCGTACAAG